AGAGAGAGAGAGAGAGAGAGAGAGAGAGAGAGAGAGAGAGAGAGAGGAGAGAGAGAGAGAGAGAGAGAGAGAGAGAGCGAGAGCCTGGCTTTGCCTCTACATCTATGTTACAAGGTGATAACTCCCTCTTTTCTATCATTTTAAGGCTTATGAAACACTTGTTCCATGTCAAACCTGGGAGATGAGTGGTGCAGACTCAAATCCAGCTCTGCTGTCTCTGGGATGCTTTTTCTAACTAGCTTCCTGAATCAACAAGAATTCACTGAGTGCCAACAATAATGACGAGTTCATAGTCCTATTCTCAGGGACACCAATAATGGGAAAAAATCCACTATTGATGGGGAAAACTAATAAATCAATCAAAAAAAGCATTTAGTAAATGCTTACTGTGTGCCAGGAACTGTGCTAAATGCTTGAGGATTCAAAGAAAGGCAAAAACACAGCCCCTGCCCTCAAAGATCTTACATTCTAGTGGAGAAAGCAATACATAAATAAATACATACAGAGTAGAGAGAAAGCATGACCTTCTATGGCCCTGCCCTCAGGGACATCAATTATGGGAAGTTGAGGGATATCAATAAGGGGAAGTCATAGCCATGCCTTGAAAAATACCAATAATGGGGAAAACAATCCCACTTTCAGGGACATCAATTATGTCAGTGGCCATCATCCCACTCTTAGAGACCTTAAAGTCCCATTGTATAACATGTGAAACAAGAATAAAACACTATATTACCATGTGTAGTTAAATCGTAGATTGTGTGACTCAGACCACAATTACAATAGAAACTCAGAGAAGGGATTGACCACCAGATGACAGTTTCCACATCCTAAGCTGTCCATCTAGTACCTTCTCTATCCATCTGCTTTCTTGGGCCCTGACTTTGGGGAGCAAACACCTCTCTACCCAGAATATACACAAGTACACACACACATACATGCACACACATTAGGATGGATGTACATTGGGCGGAGGGGAGCTAGATAGGAAGGCTATGCTGTCCATCATTACAAGGGCCCCATGATACGAACCTGGAGGCACCTTCCCCACATCTCTTAGCAAAAGCCAGGCCACTCCACCAACCTTTTTAACATTCGACAACATCTTTTAAACAGATGACTTTTAATAAGTTAATCCATTCATTGTCTGCAGTGCTGCAAAGTGACATAGGAGCACAATGATGGCTAATTAAACTTGTTCTGTGAAAACTAATTTGTCAAAGCCAGAAGCACAGTTCATGGATAAATGCTAATATTTGAAAGTCAAATTAAAGTTGAAAAGGTTTGTAATAACAGTTAATTAACTCCTGTTTTGTTTTCCTCTTGCAAACTTGAACCAACTGCAAGCTGGCTCCTCTTTAACATTTTGGACCACAAAGATAAAATTCAAAGCGTGGAGAGGAGCCTTTGATGTTGGTATCCTCCACAGATTAGATATTATTTTAAGATCTCTTTGTTTAAAAATTCATTTTTATTATCCCGGCATGAAATGCATGGCAATTCCCCAAATACCGAACCATCGGGGCAATTAACATCGTCGATCGACACCATCGTCCTGATAATTAATACAGACGCACTACCTCCCCGGTGATTGCTGCGAGGGCTGGATTTTTTCTGAGCAACTGTTCATTTACAGAATCAGTTTCATCCTAATGAAAATGGATTGTGAA